TTGACTTAGTGATGAATCACTCCTCTAGACACTAATGAAGGCTGGGGAGACATTTCAGCTGTTAGATAAAGGTGTTAAAAAGACAAACGCACAAGGAGATAAGTTTCACTTTCAGTTTAATCAAAGTGAGTTAAATGGACACTAGCAAAACAGCCAAGTGTCCCGTTAACTCATTTGGTCTTTTCAAAACTTGAAAAAAAAATAAATAAAAAAAATATAAAAAAATGTTTATGAGAACGTAAACATGTAGCTCTTGTAAAAATCTGTATTTTACGTCATAGATGAGCAGAAGTTGTTCTCTAATTAAAAACCAGGAAGAAGGCATTATGGAATGCTGTTTTAGAAGCGCTTTGACCAAATAAAAAGTCAAAATTTGAAATAATGCTCCATCTGGAGACACAGATACCTGCTAACATCACTTCCCTGCAGTCAACGTCACATGGACGTGCAGATCGTGTATATATTGAGTCTGTCGGTCCAGACCACGTCTGTCGGTCCAGACCACGTCTGTACGAAGTCCAAACTAGGTCTTTGCATTAGCTTCTGACTACTTGGTGCAGAATCAGGATGATAGGAACACAACAGGCATCAATAGAGCTCCGGGAGTTGACGTCACTTCTCCCGGCATGCAACAGTTCAAATCGAAACGGCGCCATAATTGCAGGCAGAAGCCCGCAGCTAGACTATTGGCTATTGTCAGAAAACTCAATCAAATGGGAAATATGGTAGATTCCTGTTGTGCCCCAGTATGCAGAACAGACGCGGACGACATAAGGAATGAGCCATCTACAGGATTCCCCAAGATCCGGAGCGCCGCAAACGTTGGATCATTGTAATAAAACGCGCTAGTGACCGGGCTGAAATGAAGCTGTGGGATCCCGAGAGTAAAGGTTTTCGCTTATGCAGCGACCGCTTCATATCAGGTACTTAAACCAACGTTTCCTCAACTGTGTATGGTATTTATTTTAAATGCTTTTATTACGATTCTTAGTGGGCTTCCTAAACTTATTATGGCGGGGCTTTTTCCGTCTTATTACTCATAGCAACAAGTAAACATCACGTAAAACGTTGCCTCGTGAGTTCAGCGTGCTGCCGTTTACGTGTTTTATGATCACAGCAACTAACCGGCTAAGCTGTATTTAATTTTTAAGCAATGGTTGATCAATTGTCAGATCACACATAAAAAGCACTTTGGATTGCTATTATCTGTCTCACCGAGTCAGATCTCAGACAGATCCTGAGACGCTCCTGCCTGACACATTTATTTTATTCACAGAAAAAAATCTGACTAGTGATTTCTCTTGGAGTTCAGTTTATACATTCAAACAGCACTGCACTCTATTTAAACTACTTACATGTAAATCTATGTTATTTGTCCATCCATCCATTTTCATCCGCTTATCCAGAGTTGGGTTGCGGGGGCAGTAGCCTAAGTCGAGAGGCCCAGACTTCCCTCTCCCCAGCCACTTGGGCCAGCTCCTCCGGGGGAATCCCAAGGCGTTCCCTGGCCAGGTCCGGTAAGAAGTCCGCTACGACAGCTTCTGGCGTTTTTAAAAAGTATCCCAGGGGCACGGCAAGGGTCGGAGATGTTTCGTCTATTTAATTTCTGACTGTATAAAACGATTTCTTTGGTTTCAAAGTGTGAAGTAAACTCCGACGAAGTAAAATCCAAGCCGATCCCGTTCATTTTGTTTACATTTGTTGCCTGCCAACATGGCGTCTACTCTCTGAAAGTCATGTGACGTCCGGAGCTCTATAATCGATAAGAGCTGTAGTGGAATATAGTTGTATATTCTTACACATTTATTAGGTCCAGATATTATAATCAGAAGAGGACAATAGGATCTTAATAACGCTACAGAGCTTATCACAGGGTGTGAAACTTTAATCATAGTTTTCATTTTGGCAGCATGTTTTCTTCCATCACTGATGAAAATGGGGTTCATTTTTATTCTGGCAGTGCTGGTCTTCCATAAAACCAGAGCAGTGTGTCACCACGCGCCAGTCAGCAAAAGTTCACATCTGCATCTAAAGTCATGCAACACTGACAGAGTTAACGAAGGACAAACAGACATTTAAAGCTTTAGCAAGAAGGCATCGGCACAATATGCATCAACTTAAAACATCACAGAGTCGTTTCTCATGCAGCGGTAAGCTGCTCACGTCCACGATGACGCTCAGAGATATTAGGACATGTACTGAGGGTTCAAGGTGGAGAACTCAAACTTCCAGACAAACCAGTGCAGGCTCAGAGATACAGATGGAGTGGTGCTAGTAAAGCTGTGCAGGTCCTGAGCTCAGGACAGGACAACATGTCCATTCCTGTAAGCCATGCATGGCGGTGTGCGACTACTCAGAGCCAAACCAACTGAAACTGGGAAAATGAAGCAAGTGGTTCACGAGGAAGCACAGATGTAGAAGTGGAACAATTAAGGTGATGGAGGGAAAGTGACGAGTGATGGCAAAAGGAGGATGAGTGAATAATGACTCTGAGACGGATAAAAGGAAAATGGGAATACCTCAGTAGTCCTATTGACCATCATCTGTAGCGGGGGACGAGGGAGGGAGAGATCAGTTCAGTTAGGCTTGTTGGACACATGGAGGTGTCTCTAAGGGTGACAACATGGCTGGAGCGGCTCACTTCGCTTAGCTCCAACATCCGGGTTGATTATCATGTGAACATGTCTGCTTTTGGTTTCAGCTCACAATCCAAGCTAATCTGGTGGTTTAGCTGACAGCCTAGAATGTTGCAGCAAATATTCTGCAAGTTTAAAGATTTTAGAGAAATAAATACCCTTGGGCCATCTGGATAAATGAAATCCCGGTTTTTCAATCAGCTAAATGATGCGAATACAAAACATTAGTAAACGTTAAAAATGAGCTCAAGTTAGCTTCAAGACGCAAGCATCGGTAATATTTGCTTCTCTAAGTTACTGTCAGGTTCTGATATCAGAGAGAAAGAAACCTCGTTTCTGCATTAGAGCACAAGCTGCAGCTTCCTCCCGAATGAAGCAGATTTGCTGGGTTTGTAGACCAGTTCCTGCTGATTTTGTGCAACAACCAGTAACCAGTATCACGTTGTGTGTTTTAGACACAAACGAGATGCACTCACATATTTAACATTATTCCAAATGGACCAAATTACTTTCAGTATAACAGAAATGAGTGGCTGACTCATGCAGCTTAGTCCGCCGAGACAACTCCAGCATTCAGCAGGAGAAAGGTGGGGGGGCACTCTGGGCAGGTTTCTGGTCCATCAAACGGACACACAGCCAGTCACACCCATAGAAATGAATTCGTAGACCAACACATTCTCACACCCAAAGCGTCAAAATATGACGGATGTGACCAAGTGTCAATATATGACGATTCGGGATGCCCCAGCACGTCAGGAGACGACGATCAGGGACAAACTGATGACGCAGCGGCCCAGAGCGTCGATATCCGACGCCGGTGGTGAGACGGACATTAGAACTACTTGTGAACAACTTAACCTTCCCCTCACCACAATCCTAACCTTAAGGTCACAGTTTATGGACCTTAAGGATAGGATTGGGGTGAGGGGAAGGTTAAACAGTCAAATATTGTCCGCGTGACCGCGCGCGTCAAACAGTGACGTCAGCGGAGCCACGTGAACCAGCGTGTCCCTGATCGTCATCTCCTGGCGCTCTGGGGCGTCCCGAATCGTCATATATTGAGGCTTGGTCACAGGCGTCATATTTTGACGCCTTGGTTGTGAGAATGTGTTGCGTAGATGCACCATTGGGCACTGAAAGAGTGACAGCACCTCCGCCATATTGGATGGGTCTCCTCACTTTCCAGACCTAACTGGTGTCAAAGCAGCGTGAGGACCTTTGCCCACTTTTTGTACAGCCTACAGTTGCAACAGCTTTTGAAAACAGCTGAACTGTTGAAAACAGATCACTTGGGACTTTCCTGGGACTTTTAGTCTACCTGTTGGGATTTTATATTTAAAGTTCTTCTACTTATTTTATGTAGATATGTTCATATTTTAACTATCTTCCCATACTATGTGTTTGATTTTGTGAAAAAGCATAATAAAATGGGTTTTTAGCAGGGTAAGCCCCTTCCTCACTAGAAATAAATGCACTGGGGGCAAATGGAGACCCATGAAAGATGGCGGCCGGCCACTACGGCTACTCCAATAGGCAGCACCAATCCACGGGGCATCTACGTATATATGTCTGTGGTCACACCTAGGGACAATTTAGAGTCTCCAGTTAAGCTAGCAGGCATGTTTTATGTCTGCGGGAGGAAACCAGAGAAAACCCACGCATGCGTGGGGAGAATACGCTAACTCCCCAAAAACAGGCTGCACAGACAGGCTTCGAACTGTGACCTTCTTGTTGTGGGGCAACAGTGCTACCATGCAGCCCTTTAATAATAAAGCTGTCATACATGTATGTATTTTGCCCTGAAATCTCAGGCTTCTCCCTATTTTAACCTTGTAGTCGTAGCACCGCGCTCATGTTGCTATCTGAGCTGCTCTTCCTGCTAATCTCTAACCATGTAAAGAACTTTAAACACGTCCTGTCAAAACTGACATCGTCCAACACGCTTGAGTTTTAAACATGCAAGCTATGCTTTAAAACGTCCTATTTCTGAGTCCTGGCTTGTGTTTAGGCGTGTGTGGCTGATGTCTGTGAGGTGGCTGATTATTTTCTGTGTGTCTAGAGATTATAATTGTTTTTGGTAACAGGGTGACTGTACAGAGCGTGTTGCTGTTTATAGCTGATCTCATCTGAAGCTTCATTATGAGTCATGATGCACATGGCTGCACCCCAGCAGCAGAAGCCCTCATGGCATTTTTACTAAACACACAAATATCCTGCACCATCTCCTCCTCCTTAACAATAGAAAGGGTTTTTCACATAAAAGCGGGCTAAATAAAAATGTATGTGGTAAAATAAGCCCTCTTTATCCACATGGACATAGAAATGTAGTTTATCCATGTCATTGGAGTTGTTACAGATGCTCCACCCCCTTTCGGCCACTAGATGACCTCAGCGGCCTCAGCAGCTCCCTCCTCGCCTGGCTTCCTCACCCAGCTGTGTATACTTGTTAAGCCTGATTCATGCTTGACGCATTCACTTTCCGCTTGGTGATGCGGCTCTCGGATGGAACGCGCTTCACAACTTGCAGCGTTTATGGTTCATGCGGCTCGTCTCTGCGGTGAGCCAATATTCTCCCAAACTGTAGGGGGCAGCATGGAGCTCTACGGCATGCATCTAACACTACACCATAGTAGAAGTAAAAATGACTGTTGTTTACAACATGGCATTCCAGCATTTTTAACAGCGTCCTCGTCTTTTCCGACAGTGCGAGCTATTTCTCTCCAAGAATTATTAACAACATGTTGATCACGGTGATCTCTGAGAGCTGAATCATACAAATGTCTGTATTTACGAACCTCTGCCATACTAGTTCTTGCCGGTCCGCCATGTTTTTCCGCGTCCGTCCGTCCACGTGGTTAGAAATTTTCCGAGGTGCGCGTTGCGGAAATCTTGGGCCGTGCGGAGACGCGGTGGAGGGGCGTGGTTGTTAAAATGACGCAACTTTTCCGCGTGGACCTCGCGGACGCGTCAAGCATAAACCAACCTTAAGCCTGATTTATGCTTCTCCGTCTGCGTCAGTGCGGAGACACGCAACGCCATTATCCGTCCTTGCGTAGGGCTCCGGCAGGCACGCAAGTACGTACGGAGTCGAGCCCACTTTTTTAAACATCTGTCGAACGAGACGGATTACGCAAGCTTGTGACTGGTCAGGACGCCGCTGTTGTTTACAGCACCGCCATTGCAAAGAGAGGCGAGGATAACTAGCGGCAGACACGGAGAAGCTTGAAGAATACCTCGCGAAAAAAACTCTAAAAATATGAACGTTTAATTCCCGCGTGACTGGAGGAGTGAAAAGATACGCAGCAAGCGTTTTATTTGTGGACGGAAATGACAGGAAACGTGTGTTTAGAGGTGGCGAGCGCATGAAGAGGTGGAGGAGGATGAGAGACAAATATGTCCGTGTTAAAAGTCTCTTATATACACAAAAAACACAATATAAACACACTATCTTGGACCGATACATGACAGGATACAACAGAACAGCGCTACGCCCTCTGTTGTCCTGCCGGGGAATTGCTTTGCAACACTCTCCAGGAGACGGAGAAGTATGAGAGCAAAACGCTTCCGTCAATCCGTGCGTGTCCGTCCCTTGCGGAGCTGACGGAGAAGCATAAACCAGGCTTTAATCGCCGCTCTGTTGGTAAAAAGCTCTCCTCAGCATTCAGTCGAGAGGGTCCAGGGTAGTATAGGCTCGGAAGAGTTTATACTATTCTCTGCTCCTGGTGTCCTTGGCTGATTAAAACTTCGTTATTAGACTCGTTTCGACTTTGGTATTTGACTCGTTTTCGGAGATTTGGAATTAGGATTAGACTTTTGGTAACTCGACTTCGGACCGCCTTTAGACTTTGACTTTGGATCTGCCTGAGCTTTCCTGCTTCTCAGGACTGCTATTATTATTAGTATTTTTCAGTCAGTGAATCCCCAACCCCTTCTGGGTTGGCGTTTTCCGTTCCTCCCTTTGTATATACAGTAATCCCTCGTTTATCGCGGTAGATGCGTTCCAGACCTGGCCGCGATAGGTGAAAATCCGCAAAGTAGGGACTCCCAGCATGCCCCTCGCGGGGATTCCCTCCACGTTGCACCTACGTCACAAACCGCGGCTACAAACGGAAGTCGCCTTTCCAGCTCACCACTCAGTCATCTTCTTCAGATTCATGATCAGAGTTTCCAACCTACCGATCAATCCAACGAACTATCAGCTCATAGTAAGTTATCTTACTTACTTCTGGAAAGCCCGGCATTTCCGTGTCACTTCGTTGACGCTCGAACGCTCGGGGGTTTCCTAGATCAGCCGGCGTTTCACCGACGCTATCACTTCCGCGTCTGTGAAACCACGCTCCCTATTGAATTATCGTATGATCACATTCTCTTTTTGTGGGTAAAACTCAAGAAAAAATTTTTTTTTACTTGGTTTTTTTTTTATTACAAAAAGTGCATTTTATGATGAAATTGATGAAAAAAAAACAAAAATTTCTTGATATTTCTTATAGAAAAATACCGCGAATCAGTGAAAAATACCGCGAATCTGCGAATTCCCCCTGAAAAATGCTCCAAAGAAAAAATCCGCGAAGCAGCGAATCCGCGATGAACGAACCGCGAAGTAGCGAGGGATTACTGTAGCTCCTTTAGTTTCGTGTAAATATTATTAATGATGTTGTAAATACCCTTCTTGCGCACCTTTTTGTAATAAAATCCTTTGTTTTAGCGACACAGCACTTTGTTATCCTTTCACCCACACACCAATTTCATCACTCCCCCAATCTCATCACTCCTAGAGAGCCGGGGGACGTAATAAGAGTCATAGCTACACGTTACTGTTACCGCTAACACAGGATTGTCGCTTTAAGCCCCCCGTCCCCGGCTT